GAATCCTGGCATCCTGCCATCCAAGGGTTGCAAACAGTCAGACATGAATTAGCAACTGAACAGAAATGGTATCTATAAAACTTAGATGAGGCATCTTACAGTTATACTAAGCTATGCATTTTGCATGTTATTATAGTACTATTGGTGTGTGATTGTGGACTCTGAGATTTAAATGTATTTGACCATTTAAAAACTGGGGCTTTTACAAACCATTTGAAAACCTGGTGCTCACATTGTCTCTAGTTTGTTTTCTGGGAGTCTTTTCAAGTTCCTGCCTCACTCTAATGGCGTGACTGAGTTGTCTTTCTTTGCTATCTTCCTGCTTTCTGGGATCACAAGATGTTTCAGGTTCACATTCTTCATTTCCAGACCCATCTCTCTAGGAAACCCAGGTCTGGTTCAGGTATGAGGAAGGTGTTTCACCAGAGCAGTCTCAGTGCTGGCGTGCTCACAGGGACGGGCGTGGGCATTTCCTAAATCTCTCAGTGGAACAGCACGCCACGTTGTGAGATAATACACGTGCCGATTTCAGCTGCCCCTTGTGAGTCACGTGCATCACAACAGCCACACACAGCCAGCACTCCCGCAGCTGGGGCCCCGGGCCAGCAGCCCACGGTGGGGGGTGAGGGTGGAGCCGGGCGGAGGAGCAGGGGGAGAGAGAGGGCAGGTGCCCAGGGTGGGGCTCCTGGGCCCGAGGGTCTGCCTCCCGGTCCCGGGAGAGGTGTGAGCTGGACAGACGGTCGCTCCCTGGGTCTTGTGCCGCGTCCGCAGGGGTCTCGCTGCCCCACATGTTCTGACTCCTCTCTGTTCACACAGTCCTGTCTGCACCTTGCTGTCAGCTTCGTTTGTGGAATCTTGTTCTCGGGGAAGGTGCCCCCCAGCATGTGACATTCATTTGATGACCACGGGCGTGGAGGTGCAGAGAAGGTGGAGACTCGCTCAGAGCCTGGGTTTGGGAACCGATGCTGAGCTCGGGCCTGATCGATCCTGTGTGATGTCACCTTGGAAACCACTTCTCTGGGTTTGGAGGGTCCCGGACCCTCACCTTCCTCATGTGCAGGGGGCTCCCGTCCAGCGGCTACTCTGGCCTTCGGTGTCCCGTCTATGGAGGACTGTTTGGAGATTCTCAGGATTGGTGAAACCATGGAGTAAGGTGCTTATCCCAGGATTTTCCTCACGCTCCATCTAGGAAGGTGCTCCTGTGAAAACAGGAGGTTGGTTCTGGTCTTCTGAGACCTCTCTCCTCAACCCATCACCTGGTTGGCAGGGTTGACAGGTGAAATTCAGGATACGTGAGCCGGGATTTCTCACAGAGAGCTGCTTCTGAGGCAACGGCGGCTCCGGTGCCGCATGGGTGTGAGTACTTCTGAGCTCAGAGGGGGCCGCGCCATGCTGTTCCCGCTGCGGCCGCACGATGGCGCTGCAGGCTCCCCAGGCGCCGGCTCTCAGGCCTGCAGGCGGCTCAGCCCAGGCGGAGGCTGGGCGTCCCGAAGTTACAGAGACAAAGGCTTGCACCAGCTGCAGACAGTGTGTTAAGGTGGCCGGAGAACTAGTCACTCCCTCCCAGGTGGGCTCCCTCCCAGGCGTCAGACGACTTATTTCTTCACTTGGGGGTCCTCAGAGTAAGCCTTCATCCCCCTTGCTGTTCTGATCACCTCTAGGGTCACTGAGTCCTGCAAAGTGGTCTCAGGCCTGAGCCGGTGAGGAGGGGCTCCTGACACCTTCCCGCTGAGCCGTCAGCACAGCAGGGCCTTGCCCCTCCCGGAGGCCCCCCAGCGATGAGCTGCCCCGGGAGGAGGCTCTCCTGTGATGAGAGATGCTCCTGTTGGTCAGGCGGCGTGTGTCAGTTCATGCTCACCCTCTGCCGCTGAGACCCAGGAGTGCTTCCGTGCCCTTTCGTGCTCCGCAGCGGGGGCCAGACCGGAGGCCCCGTGCTGAAGGATGTCTGGTGCATATGCCTCTCCTTGAAATCCTGCTGGTTCTGCTCTGACACGTCCACATATCTGCATGTGAATACATAACTTTGCATCGAATTCAAAGACTGCATGTCAGACCTGATGTCCATCCATGGACTGCAGGCTCCACGTTAAGAATTTCCTAGAAGCGGAGGCCGCATGGAAGAGGGAGAGAGCGGCGTTGCCCCTCTCGCTGCTGTGGGATCCTGGGGACTCGGTGGTGGATCCCGTGGGGTTTCCCTCCGCTGTCACCTGCAACCAGAATCCACTGGGAGGCGGGGAGGGGCTGCCGCGCTGATCAGGGCGAGTTACAGGCGGCAGAGACGGTAACTCAGGAGAACAGTCGTCACAGAGGTTCTCTTGCAGGGAACAGAAGGTGCGGAGGAGCAAGGGTCAGCGACCAGCCTGAGCCCCAAGGCTGGCTGTCTACTAAACTACTGGGCGTTGTCTACACCTGCGCTGATGCATGGCAGTGGTGGATGGATAGATGCTGTTGCCCCCAAACCACGCAGCCAACTGTACGGACTCCTAGAGACTCTGAGAGGAAATGAACAAACAATTCTGCAAATGTGGAAGCAAAAACATTGAATTATCAGGACGACGGGGAGTCACCCTCCAGGTGTGGGGCCTGGGCGCTGAGAGGCAGGGCTGGATCAGGACAGGAGGCAGAGACGGGAGGACCTGGCATCTGAGCCTCATATATCAGGGGCAGTGATGGTGGCGGGTGGTACTCGGGGCCTTTCTTATGTGTCAGGAGACGCTGTGAGTGTCCTTCAGACGTGCCTCTCTGATCCTCACATTGTATCCTGGAGATGGGTGTAGCTCTAAGCCCCTTCACCTGTGTTGGCACTATGGGTCCTGTAGGCAGGCACTCAGAACCTGTACCCCGTAGGAGGATGCTGGCCGGGCCTGGCTCCTGTGGAGGAAGTTGGGGCACTGCTGCTGTCCACAGCTAAGACAACCTGGAGGTGGGGTCGGGGCTTACTCTGGAGAACTAGGTACCAGAGGGGAGATGGACTGGGTTCATACAAAATAAAGTGACTGAATTTTCAAACATGTAATCTTCAGCAAGTAAAAGGAAAGAAATAAAATCTGTAGCATGGCACATATGTCAATTTCAATTAAAAACATCAGAAGATACGCTGTGTTTCCCAGATCTTCTCTCTTTCGGGAAATTGGGGGAATCAGAGGAGTCCAGCCCCTCGTTAACAGGGCGCCAGGATGGGAATAACACAAACCAAGGCAGGGAAAAACAGCTTTCAAAAGCAACTTATGACGCAGATTTGATGGTAATCTCCTGGTCCCCTTTAGAAGATACCAGGAGCATTAGCGAGGGGATGAGAGGAGATTCCGCAGTTCACAGTGTACACCCCAGCATCCGTTGCTGGTCCCTGCTCTGATCATCATTTGTCATCACTCAGGATTAATCCCCATTTTATGGGTTCCCATCAGGGCCTCTCCCATCACTCTGCTTTGATGTGAGCCGGTCCCCAGGGATGGGTCCTGTCAGGCTCTTCAAGGAGCCAGGGGTCCTGCAGTTCTGTCCCCCCTGTCCTGTAGGGATGGAGCCTGCTTTCTAGGACTTGCAGGAGGCTGTGTCCATAGGTGGTGTTTCAGGGGGACTTTGCTCCCATCAGGTGTTTGCATATGTTGTTCCTGCATCGCTGGGTTTAGGATGTTTCCAAGAGACAGGGCTCAAACTGACCAGATAGCCACAGCCTCCCCGCCCCATGGGCCCGGGACTGGGGAACTGGTGTTTTCGCAACATCTTTTAAAACCTGTGGAATTGTACATGTAATCATCTGATGTCTTTGTCCTGAGCATTTTGTATCTGTTTTCCCCTGGAACATGTTGTCCTCTTTTCAGCTAAACTTGCAGATATCCTTCAGTAATGGAGAGTTTCTTGCATTTGAAACATTACATTACATTTCAGTTCCCCTTCTGGGGATCTTTACTGCCTGTACTGAGGCTGTGTGTTCACTGCCCATACCTCTGTTAACCTCTCCGGTTTTGTAATATGTTTCCATATTCACCATGTTTCTGCATGGTGAACCTCTCAAATGTATTTTTTTTGTTACATCAGACTTTAATTTCTAGCCATTTCTGAACTGTCCACCCGTTTCTCTTTATTGATTCTATGTATAATGATCATGAATGCTAATTTTTATCTATTCGTCTCTACTTTTTTCTTTTATGAATTCTATAGTTTTATTATTTCATTTATGAGGCCTGCTGAAATGGTTCAGCCATATTTTAATAAATAGTGTAGCTCAAATATCTATATGTAATGCACTTTGCTTCCGGAATTATGTTTTAATTTAGATTTTCTTTCCTTTCCTTGAACTTTTGTATATCTTTTGATTGGAGATTTAATCCATTTACAGGTAAGGTAATTATTGAGAGGTATGCATTTACTCTTGACATCTAGTTGATTGTTTCTGGCTTTAGTAGTTTGTTTTTCTTTTTGTTTCTCTCTTGCTGTCTTCCTTATTTATTTGATGATTTTCTGTAGTGGAATGCCTTGATTCCTGTCTCTATCTTTTTGTTTATCTTCTGCAAATTTTAAGTTTCTGATTACTATGAAGCTTATATGAAACATCTTATAACAGTTTGTGTATTTTGCATATTATTTACTATTATTTGAGTATAATTATGTATGCATAGATTTTAGCACATTTGATGTGTCCATTTGACATACTGGTTTTCACATTGCCCCCAGTGTTTTTCCTGGGGTCTCTTCCAGGTTGATGCCTCAGTCCTTGACTTGACCTGAGTAGTCTCTGTTATCTTCCTGCTTCCTGGGACAACAAGACGTTCCAGTTTCACCTTGTTCTTTTCCACATCCATTTCTTTAGAAAACTCAGGTCTCATTGACACATGAGAAATGGTCTTGCACCACAGCAATTTTGGTCCCGGAGTGCTCGTAGCTCCTAGGTTGGTCATTTTCCTAGCCCTTTCAATGGAATAGCATGCTACTTTTTATAGGGACAATACTCATCAATATTTCATGTTGCTTTTTTAATTCAAATGTACCACAACACCAACTATAGCCCCCTCCCCCATAGCTGAGAGCCGCAGCCTCCGGAACAGCCAGAGCAGCCCATGGTTCTGGTGGGGTGAGGGTGGAGCAGGTCAGAGGAGCAGGTGGAGAGAGAAGGTGCTCAGTGTGGGGCCTCTGGGGCCAGGAGCCTTTATACACCTGCCGGGTCGGGGTGATGCTGGGCACGTGCTCACTTCCTGTTCCTGTTTGTGCCTGTTTCCCAGGGAGTCACTCTGTCCTCTCCTTGCCTGACTCCCCTCTGTTTATTCTGTCCTTGCCCTCCCTTGCTGTCAGCCACATTTGTGGAACATTGTTCTCAGCTGAGAAAAGAGGAGAAATGAAAGGCCAGGGAGAAAAGGAAAGCTAGACCCATCTGAAGGCACAGCTCCAGAGAATGGCAAGGAGAAATAAAAAAGCCTTTTAAAGGAACAGTGCAAAGAAATAGAGGAAAACAATAAAATGGGAAAGTCTAGAGATCTCTTCAAGAAAATTAGAGATGCCAAGGGAACATTTCATGCAAAGATGGGCACAATAAAGGGCAGAAATGGTATGGACCTAACAGAAGCAGAAGCAATTCAGAAGAGGTGGCAAGAATACACAGAAGAACTATACAAAAAAAGGTCTCAATGACCCAGATGACCATGATGGTGTGATCTCTCACGTAGAGCCAGATACTCTGGAGTGTGAAGTCAAGAAGGCCTTGGGAAGCATCACTATGAACGGAGCTAGTGGAGGTGCAGGGCTTCCAACTAAGCCGTTAAAAATCCTCAAAGATCCCCAGTGTCCATCGCAGCACTGTTTATAGCAGCCAGGACATGGAAGCAACCTAGATGCCCATCAGCAGACGAATGGATGAGGAAGCTGTGGGACAGATACACCATGGAATATTACTCAGCCATTAAAAAGAATTCATTTGAATCAGTTCTAATGAGATGGATGAAACTGGAGCCCATTATACAGAGCGAAGTAAGCCAGAAAGATAAAGACCATTACAGTATACTAACACATATATATGGAATTTAGAAAGATGGTAACGATAACCCTATGTACAAAACAGAAAAAGAGACTCCGATGTATAGAACAGACTTGTGGACTCTGGGAGAAGGCGAGGGTGGGATGTTTCAAGAGAACAGCATCGAAACACGTATATTTTCTAGGGTGAAACAGATCACCAGCCCAGGTTGGGTGCATGAGACAAGTGCTCGGGCCTGGTGCACTGGGAAGACCCAGAGGGATTGGGTGGAGAGGGAGGTGGGAGGGGGGACCGGGATGGGGAATACATGTAAATCCATGGCTAATTCATTTCAATGTATGACAAAACCCACTGCAATGATGTAAAGTAATTAGCCTCCAACTAATAAAAATAAATGAAAAAAAAAAATCCTAAAAGATGATGCTGTTAAAGTGCTGCACTCAGCATGCCAGCAAATTTGGAAAACTCAGCAATGGTCACAGGACTGGAAAAATCAGTTTTCATTCTAATCCCAAAGAAAGGCAATGCCAAAGAATGTTCAAACTACCACAGATTTACACTTATTTCACATGCTAGCAAGGTAATGCTCAAAACACTTCAAGGTAGGCCTCAACAGTATGTGAACTGAGAACTTCCAAATGTTGAAGCTGGATTTAGAAAAGGTAGAGGAACCAGAGATCAAATTGCCAACATCTGCTGGATCATCAAAAAAGCAAGAGAATTTCAGAAAAACACCTACTTCTGCTTTATTGAGTACGCCAAAGCCTTTGACAGTGTGGAGATGGGAATACCAGACCACCTTACCTGCCTCCTGAGAAATCTGTATGTAGGTCAAGAAGCGATGGTTAGAAATGGACATGGAACAATGGATTAGTTCCAAATTGGGAAAAGAGTACATCAAGACTGTATATTGTCACCCTGCTTATTTAATTTATATGCAGAGTATATCATGTGAAATGCTGGGCTGGATGAAGCACAAACTGGAATCAAGATTGCAGAGATAACCTCAGATATGCAGATGACACCACCCTTATGGCAGAAAGTGAAGAGGAATTAAAGAGCCTCCTGATGAAGGTGAGAGGGGAGAGTGAAAAAGCTGGCTTGAAACATTCAAAAAATGAAGATCATAGCATCCAGTCCATCACTTCATGGCAAACAGATGGGAAAACAATGGAAACAGTGAGTGACTTTATTTTCTTGGGACCCAAAATCGCTGCAGATGGTGACTGCAGCCATGAAATTAGAAGATGCTTGCTTCCTGGACGAAAAGCAATGACAAACCTCGACGGTGTGTTAAAAAGAAGAGACATTACTTTGCCTACAAAGGTCCATATAGTCAAAGCTATGATTTTCCGGTAGTCACGTACGATGTGAGAGCTGCACAACAAAAAGCCTGAGCGTTTTTGAACTGTGGCATCAATTGTAGAAGGTTGTTGAGAGTCCCTTGGACTGAAAGATCAAACCAGTCAGTCCCAAAGGAAATCAGTCCTGAATATTCAATGGAAGGACTGATGCTGATTCTGAAGCTCCAATATTTTGGCCACCTGATGTGAAGAACTGACTCATTGAAAAAGACCCTGATGCTGGGAAAGATTGAAGGTGGAAGGAGACGGGGACGACAGAGGATGGGATGGTTGGATGGCATCACCGACTCAATGGACGTGGGTTTGACCAACTCCAGGAGACGGTGAAGGACAGGGAAGCCTGGTGTGCTGCCGGCCATGTGGTCATGATGAGTTGGACACGACTGAGGGACTGAACGATGATCTTCTCAGTGAAGATGACCTGTTCTGCCTATTGTTCTCTTTAAATGACCACAAGTGTGGGTTCAGGGAGTGGGTGGTGACTCAACTCACTGAGAGCTTGTTCTTGAGAACTGATGTGGAGCCTGTGGTCTATATTGATCCAGTGTGGTATCATCTTTGCAACTTTTTCTGGTTTGGATCTGGGACACAGAGATGCCTTGCCTACTGGGAGCTCCTGTCCAGGGGTATTTCTGGGGTTTGGTGTTTCGTCTATGCAGGACTCTATTGGAGATTCTCAGGATTGGTGAAACTATGGAGTAAGGTGCTTATCCCAGGATTTTGCCTCACGCTCCATCTAGGAAGGTGCTCCTGTGATAACAAGGAGGTTGGTTCTGGTCTTCTGAGACCTCTTCCTCAGGGCATCATCTGGGTGGCAGGGTTGACAGGTGAAATTCAGGATACATGCGGCCAGGATTTCTCATAGATTCTTCTGAAGAAACGGTGGCTCCGGTGTCTCATGGGTGTGAGTACTTCTGAGCTCAGAGGGGACCTACGCCATGCTGTTCCTCCTGCGGCCACACGATGGCGCTGCAGGCTCTCCCAGGCGCCGGCTCTCAGGCCTGCAGGCAGCTCAGCGCAGGTGGAGGCAGGGCATCCCCCTGAAGTTACAGAGAGAAAGGCTTGTACCAGGTGCAGACAGTGTGTTAAGGTGGCCAGAGAAGTCCCGGTAACTCCATCTGAGTGGCTCCCTCCCCAGGTATCGGAGTACTTATTTCTTCACTTGGGGGTCCTTAGAGTAAGCCTTCATTCCCTTTGATGTTTCAGGAGGGGGCTCCTGACACCTTCCCGCTGAGCCGTCGGCACAGCAGGGCCTTGCCCCTCCCGGAGGCCCCCCAGCGATGAGCTGCCCCGGGAGGAGGCTCTCCTGTGATGAGAGATGCTCCTGTTCGTCAGGCGGCGCGTGTCAGCTCATGCTCACCCTCTGACGCTGAGACCCAGGAGTGCTTCCGTGCCCTTTCGTGCTCCGCAGCGGGGGCCAGACCGGAGGCCCCGTGCTGAAGGATGTCTGGTGCATATGCCTCTCCTTGAAATCCTGCTGGGTCTGCTCAGACACGTCCACATATCTGCACATCAACACACAACTTTGCATCGAATTCAAAGACTGCATATCAGACCTGATGTCCATCCATGGACTGCAGGCTCCACGTTAAGAATTTCCTAGAAGCGGAGGCCGCATGGAAGAGGGAGAGAGCGGCGTTGCCCCTTCTCGCTGCTGTGGAATCCTGGGGACTCGGTGGTGGATCCCGTGGGGTTTCCCTCCGCTGTCACCTGCAACCAGAATCCACTGGGAGGCGGGGAGGGGCTGCCGCGCTGATCAGGGCGAGTTACAGGTGGCAGAGACGGTAACTCAGGAGAACAGTCGTCACAGAGGTTCTCTTGCAGGGAACAGAAGGTGCGGAGGAGTAAGGGTCAGCGACCAGCCTGAGCCCCAAGGCTGGCTGTCTACTAAACTACTGGGCGTTGTCTACACCTGCGCTGATGCAGGGCGGTGGTGGACGGATAGATGCTGTTCCCCCCAAACCACGCAGCCAACTCTACGGACTCCTAGAGACTCTGTGAGGAAATGAAGAAACAATTCTGCAAAATGTGGAAGCAGAAACGTTGAGGGATCAGGATGAGGGGGATTCACCCTCCAGGTGTGGGGCCTGGGCCCTGAGAGGCAGGGCTGGGTCAGGACAGGAGGCAGAGGCGGGAGGACCTGGCACCTGAGCCTCACAAATCACGGGCAGTGATGGTGGCGGGTGGTGCTTGGGGCCTTTCTTATTGTCAGGAGACACTCTGAATGTCCTTCAGACGTGCCTCTCTGATGCTCACATTGGATCCTGGAGATGGGCAGAGCTCTAAGCCCCTTTCCATGTGATGGGACCATGGAGTTACTAGGCAGGCACTCAGAGCCAGGACCCCATAGGAGGATGCTGGCAGGGCCTGGCTCCTAGGGAGGAAGGTGGGGGCACCTCTGGTGTCCACTGCTACGACACCGCTGAGGTGGGGGCTCATGCTGGAAAACTAGGTACCAGAGAGAAGATGCACTGGGTGCATACAAAAAAGGTGACTGAATTTTCAAAAATATAATATTCAGCAAGTAGAAGGAAAGAAATAAAATCTGTAGCACAGCACATATGTCAATTTCAAATAAAAACCTCAAAAGATACGCTGTGTGTCCCAGATCTTCTTTCTTGCGGGAAATTGGGGGAATCAGAGGAGTCCAGCCCCTCGTTAACAGGGCGCCAGGATGGGAATAACACAAACCAAGGCAGGGAAAAACAGCTTTCAAAAGCAACTTAT